ATGAAATCACATTTTCCATGCTGAAATAAGAAGCCTCGTCAGATGAATGACTCTGTACTCGATTTCCCGTGTTTTCTACACCTGGCTACGACAAAAATTAAGTCCCCTGACATTAACCCATTGCTTTCCAAACGAAATGGGTTTGGATCTGCATCTGGGATCATGTAACTGCCCAAGGTTTACCGACGCGAAAGCTGACAGAAAGTTTAACTGATGTGTGCGTAGAGAAGCAGCACAAACCACCCGCACTACTGAAATCTTCTTGAAGTCTTGCAGATAAATCTCTAAGTGGAATTTGCCGGGAATACCCATATTAGACCCCCAATTAGAAAATAATTGCTGCGAGAAGGGTGCCCGTGAGGTTCCCACCGGGCGGGGAGGGAAGTGGAAAGGGGCTCCAGCAGAGAACAGCCAGGACACGCTGCGCGAGCTGGGGAGAGCTTAAAAAGTCCTGAGCCCACACAGTGAGGAAAGGCCACCTTCCTGCAGTATCCAGCGGGCAGAAAAAGACATCAATTCAGCTGCAGAAACACCGCTAAGCACTGCCGTGTGAGCTAGGAACACTCCTTGCCTTCCTCATCCAGCACCAAGTCTTGCTCTTTCTATAACGTAATTTTGCCGAGTTTCTCTTTTCACAACATATTTTGTGTTCCCCGTTGCTCTTTACCTCTGAACAACACTTACAAGAGGAGAGGTTCAAAGCCAGGGCTGCATTCTCCTAAACCAACGGCATGGGCATGAGCTGAAGATCACACTCCCACAGATCTCCTAAAGGGTCTAAAAGCACCATCTAAAAGCTCAGTGCTAACGATGCTCCTTCCAAAAACCAACCCCGTCACTGGTGTCAGACCGCGATGCCAGGGCAGCCTTGCCGGACTGCGTCCACCTGCCTCGCTGGCAGGGGACACAAGTGGGGTTGTCACGCCAAAGATGGGTTCCAGTGCCACGGGCTCTGATCTCCATACACTCCCAGTGGGGACTTTACGTTCAGTCTCCTTGCAGAGGAACACAAAGCCCAGACTCCAGCGGACCGGTCTTCCAGCATGGAAGATGCCAACTGTTTTTCCACCCTGCCTGCCCCTGGAGCTCCTCATCACCCCAGTTCCACTGGGAACAAACAAGTGTCAAAGTCCTGCCACGCTGAGGGTGGTTTCAAATCTGGAAAGAATGGGGATGCAGGATGAAAAATAAATTTCTCCTTGATCAGGAACAAAAGGAACCGTTGCAAGCATCACCTACCATCAAGTGCTGGGAAGGGGATGTGCTCTGAGGTCAGGACAGAGGAGAAAAGGGACGGACTCAGCCAAAAGACCCAGAATTGAAAACAAATAGAGGTCACAGGTTCACCAGAAGATCAGACACCCCAGTCTCACACCCTCCTTATCTCTGCTGAAAGAGTAAAATCAAATATCCACCTGTGGCACGTGACCGGCAGCACTGCCTTATACAGCTGTGGGATCTTTCTGTTTATCAGAGGCTGGAGAGCTTCCTTTAACCGGTGGTAATTCCTTTCGAGCTCTCGCTGATACTCCTTCTGGTCCGGACCGATCAGGCTCTTGTTCTTGCGCAGAGCATCTTCGCACCTAGGAAACAAAAGCCTGTGAAACCTGGGCACGTAAAAAAAGATCCACGTGCTAGAGGCTCGTTAATCTAATCGTACAAAAGAAATCGTTCTGTTCCTCTGGGATGACGCATAATATCCTTCTCTATCTTGTCTTTTGGGTAATAAAGGCTCGGCTAAACCGGCTGGGGTCCATGGGGAAAGGAGAGGGTGTCATACTTCCAATTTCCACTTCACTTCCAGAGTAGCAACTCCCTTTTAATTTTAATTTACTCTCCAGTTACATTTATCCTCCCTGAAGAGAAACAAGAAGCTAATCTCTGCATAGCCACTTCCAGCCCAAGAGGACTTCACGACGGACAGACCTACTGCTCTCCCCAGAAAAGATTAATAAAGAGCAGACTACGAGACGTTCATCAGGAGCTCTCCTACTTGGAAAGACGTGACTTTAACAAAGGGTGTGAAAAGAACCGTATCACCAATGCCACTTACTACATACGGGAAAACTACATTTCCACCAGATCCACTTGCACAGAACATTTTTATTTCAAAATATTTTTTTTTTAAGTCCTTGGCGCTTGCAAACGATGCTGGGCTGAGCCTGCAGTTTGTGTTACTCACGAGGAAAGCAGAGCAGCCAGCACGTTTCTTGACAGAATTCTGCCAGCCCGCTTCCGCTCCGTTCGGAGAAATGCGTTTCAGAAGGACACTAAATCTCCTGACCAGTTCCGCAGTTTCTCCCGACCCTGCCAAGCCGCGAGTTCATTTGCGCCAGCGTGGCTAGTCGTGTTTTCTGACACGGGAACACTTGTTCGCAGCTCAACTGGGATCACTAATTCATCCCTGATAAAGAGCAAAGCCAAACGACTTCAGCCGCTCCATCGGACTTCGGTCATGGACCTGCAGCCCCGGAGAAACCACCCGGGCAGCTGAGGAACCCAGCTGCGCACGGAGACCGGACCGACGGAGTGACACCACCAGCACTCCTCTCTCCCGCCACCCCCCGCAGCAGCGACTGCGTCCATCGGGCAGCCGGAGGACAACACCTCGTACCTTTTGGTGAAGTCTTTGAAACAGAGCCGCAGTTTGTTGTGGTGTCTGAAGAGCTTTGGATCGTTGGGTATTTCAGACAAGAAAACTTGTGCGACTTCTAATGGTCCCTTTAGGAGCAGAAGAGAAAAAGCAAGGTTCTTGGAACCATCTGTCATGTGCAACTGCTGGAGAAAGTTCTTGCACACAGAAACATTGGTAAAATGCAACATTTCCTTACTCTTGAAGAACTGCAGCTGGTAACACTGGCGTAAATCACCAAGCATCACGACAACTGAATCTCTCTTTAGTTTTGGTGCTTTTTTCTTTTTTAAATAAAACTCTGCTTTTGGAAAACAGCGTGAGAAAACGCACAGCCTCTACGTTTGTTTTCTCTTATAAGGACTCTTGACAAAGTTTGCTCAACTCACAACTAAGACAAAGTTTCAACAATGCAGGTGGAACCAGGGAAGCGTTTGCCAGCACTGCAAACTCAACCCAGAACTTGAAACTCCAGCTGATTTTTTTCCAGCTTGTGCATTAGCCCAGTTTTACTCACACTCCCTCAGTTTTTCCTCAGTTCTTCTCCATTCACTAGTTCTGCTTTCCATTTTGTTCAAAAACCAGTGCAGGACGCCATCCTACTTCCACCCACCAGAGCCTGGCTGACCAAAGGGAAAGTAATAAAACATTTTTGGGTTGTTTTTTTTTAAGGGAAAAGGAGAAGCAGGCAGGAACAACTGCGACTGCCAGGAAGGAGCAGGTAACTGGGGGAGGAGGGCTGTCTCTTCTCAGCCACTTTCCACATCTAACCGCGTTTTCAGGACTCTTACTCAAATGGCAAAGCCACGGAGAGCAGCTGGTCTAGACCCACCAGTGACCTTCAACACATCCCACAGGCTGAACAGGGATAAAGATCCAAGGTAATTTAGAAACCAGGCCCAACACTGAGCATCCACTGCACTACCCCAGTGTCTCCAACTGGGACGGCGATCCTCACCTGATTTACTGTGGTACCTACTGATCCTTGCAGCACCATCTGCAGCATCTTTGGGTCCGCAGGGTCTTGGTGGGTTGCAAAAGCCAATTCCTGTGTTTTCTTCTGCATGTCCTCTATGGCAACTTCAATGGGCGTCAAAATGATCTAAGCAAGTAGCCAGAACAGAGGACGCTTGTTACGGCCAAGACTCTCAACCAGACGCGTACTTTCAGAGACACCAAGGTGACTTGGGTCATACTCAAGTGGTGGAGGAGACCAACAGGACCAATAGTCTGGACTGAAGCACTTTAGAAATGCATAGTCTTAGTCTTGGTTTAAGAACACCAAGAAAAAGTTTGATTTTTAAATGTGTTTCTACCTCTGGGTACTCAGGGGCTTTCTGAGATTGCTTCTGAGGAGGCAGACTCGTGTCCCTTTGTGGTCACTGCAACCATCCACCCATGGTTACAGCACTACGTCAGCGCCTAAACGCCCGCAGGTTCCCTGCCTCGCATGAAAACGCATTTTTCATCGTGTCCCAGGCATCACATCCGTTCCTACCCACCCCTGAAAAATTAACATAGCTTTGGGATAAACCTCTCCAAGCGGCCCCAGGACCCCACTGGCCTGGGTCCGCTGAGACCACGTGAGTGGTCCCACAGAGCAACAGGAGATGTTGCTCAAGCGGAATGGAAGGGAGCAATCAAAGGAGAGGGGTCTCGTGCACAGTCCCCGCAGCGAACAGCCAGAGCAGCTCACGACGGCGCTGCGTGCTCTCGCTCTCCGCCAAATTTCTGCGTCTTTAACAGAGAGGGGAAAGGTAGGGTGGGGATGGCCAGGAGGGTGCATCTGGGTAACATGACGGGGCGAAGGGATGGGGCCGTGCCATCAAACTCCACGTACAACAGCACATCATGCGTGAGTTTCGGCAACGTCCACTTCCCTTAGTCTTGTGTAATAAAAGCAGTCTCGTGTAACAGCAGTCCCCGAGAGCGCAGGGCTCACCTCCTCTTTGTGGATGACGTTTATCCTGGTTTTAATGTACGGGAAGGCGTGGGACGTGGTCAGGATGGTTTTGCGCTTGAACTGCTCATGCAGCTCCCCGTGAGCTCGGCCGTCCAGCGTGAAGGGTGTGCAGTACATGAAACGCCGCAAGTTGTAGTTCTTATCGAAGTAAGTTATCCTGTCCTTCATCTCGTAGGTGTCGAAGTACGGCTCCACGTAGGTTATCTGAATGTAGGCCTGCAGAGAGGAACCCGGGCGTCACGGTGAGGCACAGCACCAGACAAGCGCTGACGTTTCAGCAGTGCAATAACCCGGTTTGCATTCTTTCCTCTTGGAGCCACCTCTGGAAGAACGAGGACTGGTTTTTTTGCCTTTTCTCAGAAATATCACACTACATCGGCAGGGGCCAGGGGTGCTGGCAGCTGCTCAGCAGCTTCTGGACTGGATAAACACAGCGCACTGCCCCGCTCCTCTCACGCTCTTCACACGAAGAGTCTCCTTCCCTTCATTGCAGTTAACGCCCTGCCCTGCGCCACAGTCCCGTTTCCTAGGCATGCTCCTGATGCTTCTGCTGCCCTTAAAGGACATGGCACAAGAGTGACAAAACGCTGCAGCGACAAAAAAGCCCGAGGCCAGTGAATGGCAAACTCCCTCTCTTCTGTTTAACAACTCCATCAACGATTTGGACGAGGGGATCGAGTGCCCCCTCACTAAGTTTGCAGGTGACACCAAGCTGGGCGGGAGTGTTGGTTTGCTCGAGGGTAGGAAGGCTCTGCAGAGGGATCTGGACAGGCTGGATC